GCCACGCTGTACTTGGTTGGATAAGTAAAATATTCCATCAACATCACCAGAAGTATAGAGTCCGCAGCAGCCATTTCTAAAAAATAAATGGTATGTCTGATGGAAGAAGGCTGATTAGCGTTCATTTACCTACCGTGGCTCGTTCATGGTGAACGCCGGTCATTTACGGTTGTTGTTCCCAACACCCAACAGCTATCCAATGTTTAGCAAAATTCGCAACATGCTACTGCGCGTGCAGAGACATGAATTTCCCTCTCACCTTAGTGGTGCGGACGTATGGAATTCTCGGCAGACGAGTGATTTAGTGCAGGGCTCAGCTGAGGAAAAGCCTAACCTCTAAAGACGCACCGACATGAGGCTGTTGAGCAGCGAGCGAGCCACAACTTGTTTCCGGCTGTCAGCTAACTTCGCACTGGGTGAAGGTCATGGCCAACCGTAGGCTTTGGAACAATCGATGGTTATCTCTGTGTGTCTCGCTGGCTACGCGGCAAAGTCGGCTTAGGCGACCGCAACTGCAACATGCATGTGCGCACGTGATGGCAGCTCAGCTGAGGACGAGGTTAGACATTGCAACTGTTGTCAATGTTATTGAATCATAGGTAATGGAGCACGAGCAGACAATGTAGTCGGGATCACGTAACGTTCCTGTTACTCAGCGCGCTGATTATTCGGCTGTAGGGTGAACGAGGTTTAAACGCCGCATCAGCTTCAAGAAAATACAACGCAATGAACGCAGAAATGCGTCGCATCACTGCCCGATACGTGCTTAAACTAATGAAGAAGTTCGAGCAAACTGGTAGTATGTGTGACATGAAGAGAACCGGACCGCCTCGCATCACCACGGACAACTGTTCAGCTTGTGCTGTAGTCAGTGAAGTGTCAAAAGTCCCGATCTCAGCATTCCTCGGATCGCACAGCACTGTGACACGACCCGATATGCGGTACACCGGATATTACTGGAACGAAAATTTCGGAGGTTTCGTGCACTTCAAGTACAGGTTTTGAACCCATGCGATCCGGAGAAGCGGCATGAATTTGGACGCTGGTTTCTGGATCACGGGGATATTCGTTCTGTTATCTTTACAGATGAGGCATTGTTTCATCTGCATGGAACAAGGAAACTACTGTTGGGCTACCAGCAACCCACGAAAATTTACCGCATCACGTATGAACCACAGTGTGAAACTGGTGGTTTGGGCCGGATTGACAAGGCAGAAAATCTTGGGCCAAATTTCTTTTCCGGGAATGTGACCGGTAGGTTGTTGTTTTGAAGTACTAAAGCCTTATCGTTTCCTAGCATCCTCGTATTTGGAAATGCTGCAGACATTTGTGCTTCCCCAGTTGGAGGCCGAAGGGGCATTCAGTACTATTTGGTGGCAGCAGGATGGTGCACATGCACATTCTGCTAAAACGGTGCGTACTTACCTCACCGACAAAGTTGGCCACCATCGGATCGGACGCGGTGGACCAATGGAGTGGCCTGCTCGCTCACCAGATTTGAACCCCATGGACTTTTTCTATGGGGCTATCTGAAGCGGCGACTGTACAAAACAAGGCCGCGTACATTGGATCAATTGAAAGAAAATATTGTGAACGAATGTCGCGCGATCGCGTGGGATACATTGGAGAAAGTGCTTGCCAATTGCATCAAGCCGTTTCTGCACTGTAAGCAGAATGCCGGCGGACGTTTTGAACATATCCTTCACTGGCATAGATGATCGTTCTAACATATTTCTGTTAATATAATTATCCTCTTTCACAAATGTGTTAGTGACTAAACTGGGCCGCTGGCAAGTAGTGCTAATGATGCGTCCGGTCGGATAGAATGCTTAACGTCCGGACTGTCGTTGAGCACATAAACAGCGTAGGCACCGAAACGTTCAATGTCTACTTATGGCGAAATCCCTGAGTCTCTATGTGCTGAGGTTCGTCCAGCCTTAATGAAAAGCCGACTGTGTTGTTGACTCAGTTTCAAGCTATTGCCCATAAAGTTGGTGTTCGGGATGAGTTGCAGTAGGTGGCAACAAGTGTACGTGGGGTCGTTCCGTATCTGGTAGACCAATATGTGGTCTCCATGTAGCCGCCTGTAGTGTCTACTGAACACTCCGAGTGTAATTAGTCGCTGCTCGATCATGGTGAGTTTCAAGTGATGCAAGGTCACGGTTTGGCCAAGTGTACCAAGTCTGGATTATGTATTCGACGTGTCAACGCACGTAGGCATGGAGCATGATGAAGAAGATGAATGAATCCAAACTTTCGAATGCCATCCGCAAGCTACAACGTGCTGGATTCCGACTCTCTGGAATAACCGAAGTCGTCCTGTACCAGTACACCGAGGTTAAGTTCCTGAGGGCTTGTCTGCAGGTCATATGCCCCAATATTCTAGAGACAGGCATGCCTATGGCGGATGTGGATAATGTGTCACTTGACCACATTTAATGGCACTGAATTCCTCACCAGTCAATGCCAGGTCCCATCTAGGTCGCACATTGAGGATCTTGTGGTCGTCCATTCTTGATCCCCGGTCAACTTTTAACGTCATCCGGAAAAGTAAAATTTTTGAGGTGATGGCTCTCGCAGGATCGTTGCACTCCACTCGATTAGAGTTGGGCAGAGATGTTCGGTCTCTAACATAGAACTGCTGTACACGGAGAAAATTACCAACCCATCCTAATGACGCATTGCGTACGTTTTCCAAGTAGCCAATCATTACGTCAGCGATGATTGCTTCCATGGCTTTGGAAAGCGCAGAGATAAGTGTTACCGGACGGTAATTGGTAGGATCAGACGGACTTCTCTGAAAGAATCCGGCAAGTGTCTGGGCTAGGTTAATGGCTGCTGCCTGCAGTGCTTTAGTGTGAAGGTTATCCAAGGATGGTAGCTTTCTCAGAACCACTTTTGCTATGAATTCGATGTTGGATAACACTGATGGTGTTGGGACAGAAGCAAGTGGAAGGTTTGAGGCTAGTACGCCTCGAAAAGTAGGCCAGTACTGGTCAATGAGGGTTGTTCGCCTTTTTTGTTATGTGAGTATACCCACCAAACCTACTGAGTGGTGCGATTCCACGCTACAACTTTCGACTTGCATTCACGTGTCTGTAAATAAGGCTGTGGTTCGAACGGAATTGTTTTGCTACCTCCAGTCGGTGTGCTAAATTGTTTTCAAGAACCAACTGCACATATTAATTGCTCAGAGCTACGTACGCTGTCTCATTCTCAGGGTCAGTATTGTTTATGCGAAGGCGGCATGTGTTCCACCAACGACATAACTCTCCATATTTGGCTTCACTCATTCATGAGAAGCCTACTTTTCGAGGCGTACTAGCCTCAAACCTTCCACTTGCTTATGTCCCAACACCATCAGTGTTATCCAACATCGAATTCATGATAAATGTGGTTCTGAGAAAGCTACCATCCTTGGATAACCTTCACACTAAAGCACTGCAGGCAGCAGCCATTAACCTAGCCCAGACACTTGCCGTATTCTTTCAGAGAATTCCCTCTGATCCTAGCAGTTACCGTCCGGTAACACTTATCTCTGCGCTTTCCAAAGCCATGGAAGCAATCATCGCTGACGTACTGATGGCCTACTTGGAAAACCTAGGCAATGCATTATTAGAATGGGTTGGTAATTTTCTCCGTGAAAAGCAGTTCTATGTTAGAGACCGAATATCTCTGCCCGACTCTAATCGAGTGGATTGCGACAATCTTACGACATCCATCACCTCAAAAATTTTACTGTTCCGGATGACGTTAAACGTTGGCCGGACATCAAGAGAATGGCCGACCACAAGATCTTCCATGTGCGAACTAGATAAGACCTGGCATTGATCGGTGAGGAATTCACTGCCATTAAATGTGGTCAAGTGACACATTATCCACATCTGCCATAGACACGTCTATCTCTAGAATATTGGGGCATATGAACTGCAGACAAGCCCTCAAGAACTTGACCTCGGCGTGCTGGTACAGGAGGACTTGGGTTATTCCAGAGAGTTGGAATCCAGCACGTTGTCAGCTTGCGGATGGCATTCGAAAGTTTAGATTCATTCATCTTCTCCATCATGCTCCATGCCTACGTGCGTTAACACGTCGAATACGTAATCCAGACTTGGCACGCTTCGCTAAACCGTGACCTTACATCGCTTGAAACTCACCATGGTCGAGCAGAGACTAAATACACTCCGAGTGTTCAGTAGACACTACAGGCGCCTACGTGGAGACCTCATATTAGTCTACCAGATACGGAATGACCCCACGTACACTTGTTGCCATCTACTGCAACTCATCCCGAACACCAACTTTACAGGCAATAGCTTGAAACTGAGTCCACAACACAGTCGGCTTTTCATTAAGGCTGGACGAACCTCAGCACATAGCAACTCAGTGATTTCGCCATAAGTAGCCATTGAACGTTTCGGTGCCTACGCTGTTTATGTGCTCAACGACAGCCTGGACGTTAAGAATTCTATCCGACCGGGCGCATCATTAGCACCATTTGCCAGCGGACCAGTTTAGTCGTTAACACATTTGTGAAAGAGGATAAGTATATTAACAGAAATGTATTGGAACGATCATTTATGCCAGTAAAGGATATGTTCAAAATGTCCGCCGCCATTCTGCTTACCGTGCACAAACGGCTAGATGCAATTGGCGAGCACTTTCTCCAATGTATCCCACGTGATCGCGCGACATTCGTTCACAATATTTTCTTTCAATTGATCCAATGTACTAGGCCATGTTTTGTACACTCGCCGCTTCAGATAGTCCCATAGAAAAAAGTCCATGGGATTCAAATCCGGTGAGCGAGCAGGCCACTCCATTGGTCCACCGCGTCCGATCCTATGGTGGCCAAATTTGTCGGTAAGCACGCACCGTTTTAGCAGAATGTGCATGTGCACCAAATAGTATGAATGCCCCTTCGGCCTCCAACTGGAGAAGCAAAACTGTCGGCAGCATTTCCAAATACAACGATGCTAGGAAAAGATAAGGCGTTAGTACTTCAAAACAACAACCTACCGGTCACATTCCCGGAAAAGAGATATGGGCCCAAGATTTTCTGGCTTGTTAATCCGGCCCAAACCATCAGTTTCACACTGTGGTTCATACGTGATGCGGTAAATTTTCGTGGGTTGCTGGTAGCCCAACAGTAGTTTCCTTGTTCCATGCAGATGAAACAATGCCTCATCTGTAAGGATAACAGAACAAATATCCCCGTGATCCAGAAAACAGCGGCAAAATTCATGCCGCTTCTCCGGATCGCATGGGTTCAAAACTTGCAATTGAAGTGCACGAAACCTCCGAAATTTTCGTTCCAGTAATATCCGGTGTACCGCATATCGGGTCGTGTCGCAGTGCTGTGCGATCCGACGAATGCTGAGGTCGGGACTTTTTGACACTTCACTGACTACAGCGCAAGCTGAACGGTCGTCCGTGGCGATGCGAGGCGGTCCGGTTCTCTTCATGTCACACACACTACCAGTTTGCTCGAACTTCTTCATTAGTTTAAGCACGTACCGGGCGGTGAGGGGACGCATTCCTGCGTTCATTGCGTTGTATTTTCTTGAAGCTGATGCGGCGTTTACACCGCATTCACCGTACAGCCGAATAATCAGCGCGCGCTGACTAACAGGAACGTTACGTGATCCCGACTGCGTTGTCTGTTCGTGCTCCATTACCTGTGATTCAATAACATTGACAACCGTTGCAATATCTAACCTCGTCCTCAGCTGAGCTGCCATCACGTGCACACATGCAAGTTGCAGTTTCGGTCGCCTAAGCCGACTTTGTCGCGTAGTCAGGGAGATACACAGATATAACCATCGATCGTTCCAACGCCTACGGTTGGCCATGACCTTCACTCAGTGCGAAGTTAGCCAACAGCCGGAAACACGTTATGACTCGCTGGCTGATCAACAGCCTCATGTCGGTGCGTATTTAGAGGTTAGGCTTTTTCTCAGCTGAGCCCTGCACTAAATCACTCGTCTGCCGAGAATTCCATACGTCCGCACCACTAAGGTGAGAGAGAAATTCATGTCTCTGCCCTCGTAGTAGCATGTTGCGAATTTTGCCAAACATCGGATGGCTATTGGATGTTGGGGACAACAACCGTAAATGACCGGCGTTCACTATGAACGAGCCATGGTAGGTAAATGAATGCTAATCGGCCTTCTTCCATCAGACTATCCCTAGTCCATTTTGCCGGTTTCCATGCATTGATACTGGGACCACATTTTTCTTAGCTTTGCTCGCGGTGTTTCCAATGTTTTGCTGTCAGACTCATGACAATTTTAAGCGGTGTTTCATAACTCCCGGGCATTAAAACAGCAGGCTTTACGTGGAACTTGAAAGAGACATCGTTATTTTTCTGCGTGTTTATCCGGAAACCGCCTGCGGTGAAGCTTGTCCAAATGCAAAATTTTATGCGTTTACCATCAGCCTACCTATGAATATCGACTTGTTGGCAGCATGTGCAACGTGTTCTCATCGAAAGTTAAGTACAGAATATCATGCCGGCGTACATAGGTTGCTCTAAGCATTCTGAAAATCAAGGACAAATGCGAATAACAGGAGCCTTTGTATGTTCAAGCCATTTGTCTGTTTGCAAATTTTTAAATCTTACTTGAGACCACTTTCGGGATATACGATCCAAGTCCGGAGTACCTGACACAAACACCTTACTGATACACTTAAATCTCCACAACAGGGAGCGGTTAAATTAGTTGGCGGTTGTTTTAATTTTACCTATCAACACATACTGAAAAGCTTGGGACCGTACAACGGTGAACATCGACATCAACGCGTGGACCTTCGGATAATTTGCATAATATGGACAAACCCGAACTATGCCTATCGCGGCCAGCTGCATTTCAGCCACAATGCCAACGTACGAGGTCAGCAGGTCAAACTGGCTGCAGATTACTGCGTAACTGATGGTCTACATGTCGTTTTCTCCCTTCATATATCCAGTAAAGTGTACCCCATTTCAACTCACCTCATTTCAGCTCCAGAATTAATACAATGTAACAAATGTCGACGGCATGATATCCTACTTCCATTACGTTATAGGTCCGTTTCATTAACAGTAAGAAATAACTGTAAACAAAACTATGTGCTCACTAGGTTTTCCTAATATCCGCGAGGAAACTTATATCATTGTTTATTTGATTACTTTCGTGTGTCAGTTAAATCTAATATATCAGCTTTTTTCATTTTTAACTGGTTCCCTATTCTTCACGTAAGTCATTCTACGTGAATTGTCAAACGCTTGCTTTCTTGCCTGTGAAAAGCCATAGCTCATTGTTTACTATAAGTGTCCGCACTCTAAA